TTATACAATTACCTATTAATTAACAATTGATCATTATAAAATGATATAAATTTCTACTTTATTATAAAAAGCTGATAACTTTTATTTGAATTCAAAAAAGGGTTTAAATAAAGTATGAATTGTAATAGTTATTAAAAAGAAACTACATTAAATAATTTATCATACAACAAAACAATAAGAAAACCATAAAAAAAATTGAAAACCAAAATGGAGAAACCATATATTGTTGGCGTATGTGGCACAATCACAAGTCGGAAGAGTGGTCTGTGTCGGGTGATGAATGAGTTTGGTATAATTACTATTGATTGTGACACGATAGGACATGACATTCTCCAAAACGAAGAAGTCAAAACGAAAGTGTTGGCTTTATTTGGCGACACCATCTTAGACGATTCAAAAACCGAGATTGACAGAACAAAGCTTGCTGACATCGTCTTTTCAAGCCAATCCAAATTATCACAACTCAACAAAGTGACGTGGGACAAAATAGAGGAGATTGTTCTTTCGAAGATCGAGATTGAGAGAATGAAAGGGACGAAAATCGTCGGAATAGAAGCCGCTCTATTAATTAAAACCAATTGGGCAAAATGGATGGACGAGGTGTGGGTGACAGTAGTATCACCCAAGATTGCTCTCGACAAACTGACATACGGTCGAGGACTCACACTACCCCAAGCCAAAAGTCGTTTAAAGTCTCAACCAAAGTCTTCTGAATATGTCCGTTTTGCCGACGTCTTGTTTGATTCTCGGCACAACAAACGAACAATGACCCGCATATTTCGAGAAGAAGTGAAATGCCTAGTCGACCGAGTCCATCGCAAAATATAAAATATTGTTTTTTAAAATGTTATATATAACATTTTTACACAAGTAAAAACTTAAAAAAAGAACTCGTAAAATTCAAAAAGAAGATGTCTGCCCTGAATCTCTCAGCACAACCATTCATCCCGCGACGAAGACAAGCACAAAACTCAAACGGAACGGCGGGAAGTTACGAGAAGTCTGCTGATGGGACTACACGATCGACCGTGACAAATATCTCTTCGCGCAACAATTCCGTGGGACAACCACAATTCAACTCGACACCGACGCAAGCAACTCCACAACAAGCGCAACAGGCCTTGTATAAGAAGCTTTTGTATTGGGAACCCAAAGACGCGAACGGGAGTGTGTTGGATGAGGCGTATTGCATTGAATGCATTCCATCGGACTTCTGGCAGAAGCCGGGCGACTTGTCGGACACCGTCAAGTCCTTTGAAAAGTACTTCAACACGACTTTAGAATAATGTTAATTAACGAGTTATTAATTGTTTAATAGAATAATCAATCAAATCAGTGAAGGACAACTGTGTCGAAAGCAGCATAGAGGTCTGAAGTTTCTACTAAGGTCTTGTATTCTGCTTCGGTGAATACAACACTGTTATAGTACCTGCAAAATGGAATGGTTTCGATATATAATTTGGACGCAATGGAGGAAGGTAACTCACAGAAGTCGATGAAGAACTCCAAAAAGCAGGTTGAAACGGAACTGTATACATTGATGATGTGTAATGGAGAACGGTCGTCGAGTAAGTTAGGAGTGTACTGTTTGATGAGTTCGATGACTTTCAATTGGTTGAATAAAGACGGTGAATGAAAAACAAACAACTTTCTTTGAGGGGTCAGTGATGAGCTGAGCTATTGTGTTGAACCCTATGATCACTTCACATAAAGAAAAGTCCGAGTTTTGTTTGATCCAAAGGAAATAAGTGATTAAGACCGCCTTCCAGACATTGTCTTTTGTGAATTGCTGATAGAGGGAAGTAACTTGAAGGTGCGGAGTGAAGAGACTTTGAAGTATAATTTGCACCTTTTCGTCTTGACTTCTTGTGTTGAAAGAGTTTAAGTCCATGAGAGTGATTGGAGTCACTTTCACTTTACTTAGACTGTCACCGACTTGTCGGGCTTCTGTAACATCCTCTTTCAAGAAAAAGCCATAGATGAGAGCGCGTAGCTTTTCAGTCAACGTATATATTGGCTGACGATTAGGGTTTCCAAATATAACCGATGTCAGAAGAAATTTGTAGTTGACTAGTTCGATTGTGTTGACATACATTTTGGCACACGTTTTGTACCCAATTTGGTCGATGTTTAAAGGCGCCTGTTCATTTTGTGTTTCAGGGGGAGGATTGAGCGCCATCTTTGTTTCCTCAAGACTCCCAAAAAAGTCTTTGTCGTACTTACAAGGTCTTCGTTTCATATAAGATAACAATTCGTCCTCACTTGTAAAGGTTCTTAAAAACAAAAGGATTTCATTGATATTAAATAACTGTTGATTTTCTTTCAGATTGAGTCCAAGGTGGTGTGTATATAACAAGGCATACTTACTTGTATTTGAATTGCCCACTAAACAGGAGAAGTAGGGGTAAAACATCTCTTCTATTCGAAGGAAGTACTCTTTCACGAATTTTGTGTCAACACAGAGCACTTCAAATCGCTCGGGAAGGGCGTCACTGCCACTCTCCACTATCTTTGTCAAGTTATACACAAAGTCGTCTGCTTTCATCACAAATCGTGCGTCTGATAAGAAGAAGTCACTGTCATTTGTTATAATAAATTCAGCACCTTTCGATTGAATTAAAGAAGTTAACAAATCGTCGGCTTCGTAGACCGCGTGGTGACATTGAAATCCAAGAGAAGTGATCATTGAGAGAAAAAATCTTTCAAAGTCCGGTAAATGTCTCGTACTCACTTTAAAGCGGGTGGGGACTTCATAAATTTTTTTGATTAAAGGCAGCTCATCTTTTCTTCTTTCAATCAATTCGTTAATTTTGTCTCGTTTGTGTGTGCCATCGACACAAAATATGATGGTCCAATGAAACTCCAATGACATCCTTTTGAGTGTTGTGAAGAAAGCTAGTATCTGTTTCTCATTGAATGTTAAAAGGTTGTAAACTAAATTGTTTGTGTCGATTAAAAAAGTGCAGTGCCGATGTTTAAAAATATTAATCAACTTTTTAGCAGCGGAAACGTATTTCTAAAATTGAATACTTCCTGTTTCAACACGACTGAACGGAACAAACAGTTAAACCTTTAATTCCCATTCCTCTATTTTTCAAGTTTTCTTTTCTTTGAAAATTTGGAGCAAAACTGCTTAATAATCTTACATATTTTATATGTAACCTGATAACAAAATTTCCTAAGTTTAAAAATGTTGAATAGTAAAACTATTGATATAGGGTTTCCTTCATATTTTTAAATAATGATGTTTCAAATACAATACCATTCTTATTAATCCTAGTAGAGAATAAATGAACAATCCAATTGAAAGCGGTCTTTTTACATGTAAACCCGCGATGGACCCTCCATCTAGACCACTAGACCACACAACACCCCTTCATCTAGTGGTATATTTCCACAGACATGACTTGTTGCGATATACCCTTTCTATCATGACCATCGACACCCCAGACCTCAATGGGAAAACTGCTTTGATGATAGCGGTTGAGCAAGGCGATATGTTGATGGTTGAGCAATTAATAAAATTTGGGGCAGACCCTTGCATCAAAGATGGGAAAGGAGTGTGTCCTATAACCGCAGCGATGCGCCATGGGTATGTCGACATTGCACTTCTTTTATTGCCGTTTTGCACGGACGTGTATCAACTTACGGACGTTCGTGGATACACTGTCTTGCATTACTCGTGTTATGCCAATTCTGTCGAACTCTGCGACAAAATAGCTGAGAAAGTGGACTTGTCTGATATGATCAATGACAATTGTAATAATGGGGTGTGCTCTCCCTTGCATATAGCAGCATATGCTGGAAGTGTGTTATGTTGCAATTGGTTAATTCGATACGGTGCACGTGTTGATATAGAGAATGAAATGGGAGAGACACCTCTAATACTAGCACTCAAAAGAAATCACATCTCATGTGCAGAGGTCTTAGTGTTATATTGTAACACACACATCCCTGATAATTATGGGCAACTCCCTTTACACCACGCAGCAGCACACTGCCCGTTCAATTTTGTATCTAAAATAATTGACTCAAACCCCGGCGCTTTTATGTGTGCGGACACTCACGGAAATTTCCCAGTTCATTGTGCAATGCTCAATAGTGATGAACGGATATACGACATGTTTATAACAAACACAAAAATTCTCTGCAAAGGAAACAGTTATGGAATGACCATTTTACACGTTGCTGCAAGTGTTGGAAATACAAAAGCAGTCAAATATTTATTGAAGAAATATACAGTACCTCCACCTCGGAGTGTAAGAGGAAGTACTCCTTTTTTAAATTCCTGTGGTAATAATAAAGTAGAATGTATGAATATATTATTTGAAAACGATCCAAGTGTAGCAAGTGATACTGATTTTGAAGGATGCACGGCACTGCACTATGCTGCACAAAATGGGTGTTTAGAGGCTGTTGAGTGGATAGTAGATCGAATGCCAAAGATGGTGTTGAGTATGACTAACAGAAAAGAGACGCCCTTACACTTCGCTGCATTAGGGGGACATGGTGATGTCGTTCTTTTTTTGATTGAAAAAGGCTCTGAAATTTCGGCAATGAATATAGAACTGCGAAGTCCCTTTTATTACAGTGTTTTGGGCGGGCATTGTGAAGTGTGTGATTTACTTCCAATCCAGAAAAGTAGTGACAAATATGGACTGACAGTGATGCATGCGGCGTGTGCACTTGGTCATCCTCATATCGTCAGAATGTTATGTGAAAAGGTTCCAGACTTAATAGAAAAGAGTGATTTATGTAAGAGAAGTGGGTTACATATAGCCATTATATATAATGATGGGATCAGTGTCCAAACATTACTTCACTACGGAGCATCCAGAAATGTTATTGACATCCGAGGACTCGATCCAATCAATTCTGGATTACACCGTGGCTTTATCTTTTGTTATGAGCGTGTTGTTGGCGTTCAAATATATCGAAGTACAATCATCGGCCGACTTACAGCAACAACAAAAAGTGAAGGAGGAGACGGGATGTTAAGTTTTGAAGAAGGGGATGTTATTGATGTTCTTTGGGAGCATCCATCTGGGTGGGGGTATGGTGTCTGTGGACGTAATTGTGGAGTGATTAAAATGACAACTGGGAATGTCGGGCCATTGACACAAGAAGAAAAACGGGCATTGGATGAATTGTTAAGTATGAGACGGTTTGGGAAGAAGCCAAAGAAGGGGCGTTCATTCTCTGTACCAGATGAGACTGATTGATATATACTCTTTTAATTAGAAAATAGAACCAATCAATCATTCAAGTGTGTATTACAAACATCGAGCATTTTTTTTCTATATTGTATAATTTTTTATTAGTTTTACTAATAAACTGTCTTTTTTGTGTTAAAAAACATACAATAGTAAATTAAACTATTTATATAAGTATTTTATAGTTTAGAAGGCAAAAGAGAAAAAGAGAAAAAAAGCTATATATAGACATCAACTCCACAAAGACGAGTTTATGAGATACAAAATGATTTATTAAAAAGCAATAAAAACCCATAGAATTAGAAGATTATTAGCTGTCCTTTGATTCTAATTAAAAGTTGAATAATGAACTAATAAAACCAGAACATGTCCGGCTCTTATGGTTTGTAATGAAATTTTTGTGTGTTAATTGCGCTGAAAGAAATGGACTGACGGAAAGACGTTTTACCCCCACGTACGACGGACAGGAAGAACAAAATCACCGAAAAGAAGAATCAAAAAATCGAGGGGAGCAAGCGAACCCGTCGCGCTAATGTTAACAACAGACTTCGCCAGCGGTTGGAGAGAGAATTGTTCGCCCGCAACATCCGTACACACAGACAAAACCCAACTCATCGAGGCGCACTTGCAGGGTCTGGTATTGGCCAACTTAAGGAAAAAATCCGTCGCGTTGAACGTCTTGAGAGAATTGCGAGACTTCAAGACATGGACAGAGCTCAAGAGGAAAGACGCCGTCGTAGAGAAATTCAAATGAAGAACGAGAGACGAGTCGAGAGGGAGTACCGAGAACTCATGGCTCTTCGACAACTCAGAAGTTATGAAGACAGATTCCAGGGAAGAAGACTCCCCAGGTCATTTTCTGGTAGACTTAATCACAGAAGAAGATTTAACGACTACTTCTAATTTTATTGACTGCTTTTTTTCTGTCTTAAAATTTAATGAAACGCATGAAATACTCATGTATTTTCTTATTAAAATATTTGTTAAATTTAAATTATAAAGCCTTATAACTTAACTCATAATTTAACTCTTTAAATAGCATTGAACAAAATTTAAGTGTTCCAAAAATCAGGAAATCTATTGCTTATTAAATACTTTTTCTAAATATTAGAAGTATATTGTGTATTATAATACACTAGCCAAAAAAAGAAAAACATTAAAAAATGGCTATATATTTTAGTATAAACAAATCAATTATTAAACTAAGAACTTATTTAAAATGTAAATAATTAATGTGAATTATCTATTAATCAATATGTTAAACCATCATAGTATGAAAACTTGTCATAAATTTATATGTTATTATTATATACAATATTATAAAATATGTTATTAACATTATTTAACTGTATTAACTATCAATATCATTTCTAATTATTTAATTTGCCTTTACCATTTTGTTTTCTTTTTTTTGTATATAGATTAATTATAATTATAATAATATTTAATATTATTCAATTAATTCAAAAAAAGTCAATGCTTAGGATTTGTTTAACATTAATTTTAATTAATGACAATTTTATTAATAGTTAATGGTTTTTGATTAGAAATAATGAGTATTGTAAATAATGGTTTAATATTTTCGGTCTTGTTCTTTTCTTTGTTATATTTTGAGAATAACTTTAAATAAAAAACAGACTTTATTTGATAACAAATAAATTAACAAATATAATAGAAGTATTAACAAATTATAATATAACAATGAACTAAATAAAACTATAAACATTGATAATGTCAAATTTTGGTGGTGCTGCTGGTGTTGTATGGCGAAATACCGAGGATGAAGTATTGAAAGCCGCAGTTATGAAATATGGGAAGAACGAGTGGGCACGTATAAGTTCATTGATAACAAGTAAATCTCCTCAGCAGTGTAAAGCGAGGTGGTACAGTTGGTTAGACCCTTCGATCAAAAAGACTGAATGGACATCCACTGAAGAGGAGAAATTACTTCATTTAGTGAAGATCTTTCCTTCGCAATGGCAAACGATATCGAAAAGTGTCGGGCGGACTTCTGCGCAGTGCATAGAGAAATACAATCAGCTCACTGATGAGTTAAAAAATGTCGACCACAGTGATATCCGTAGTCGCGAGATGAACGAAATTCTTCCCGAGACACAACCCGCCTTAAAAGACCGTGTTGATTTGGATGACGACGAGAAAGAGATGCTCAACGAGACTCGCGCGAGGCTAGCAAACACATTGGGGAAAAAAGAGAAGAGAAAAGAGCGACAAAAGATGATGAGGGATGCCGCCTCCGCGATGGAGATGCAAAAACGGCGTGAATTACGTGAGGCTGGTGTGATGGTAGGTTCATTAAAGAAACAAAAAGGACCTGATCTCAACATGGAGATCCCTTTCTTCAAAACGACTCCACAAGGCAAATTCAATGTGAAGAAAGATAAGAAGCCGCCAAAGCCTTCTTCCTTCATTGGGAAAGACGTATAAAAAGTGATTGATGAATTATGTACCATTGAATTAAAAAAACACACAGATTGCTTATTTTTGGGGATACATATCATTAGATGATTGAATTTTTCTTGTTGGCCCACCCATTTGGGATTGTACAGACCTTTGCATCTCAGTGCCAAACATACTGTCTTGGCCATAATGGAAGTCATCCATATCCATCGCGTAAAACGTATTCATTTCTTGGAAGGTGGTATATGGCTGTTGTTCTTGACTTTGTGTATATTGGGGGTATGTTGTGCTTTGGTATGCCTGATAAGGGGCATACGGTTCAACTTGGTTTTGGACTAAACTGACGGATTGGAAGATCATCGCGACTTCTTGCAGGGTTTCCATTTGTTCCTGTGAAAACAGCGTGAGTGCTTCATTAATGAGTTGGTAATGTTCAGCGTCTTCGCATTGTGATAACTTCGCTATGAACTCCGTGATCGACCCATTGAGAGTTTTAATCTTTTCATTTTGTTTATTAATGTTCTGTGATATTCTCTGTATCAACTTTTCATTTGCTTTGATCACATTCATTTCTAATTTACGTTTTGATACAGTTGTTTGTGTGTCGTCTTCTTTCTTTGGTTTTGAGGCTTTCTTAATCTTTTGTTCTTTCGTTGGGTTCTTCTCTCGTAACGTCTTTGGCTTTCTATGGGAGTCGGCTTTACTAGTTGATTTAATTGGTTTACTATATATCGAATCTATAAGTGTGTCGTCCATTAATAATTTGACGTGGACGCGAAACAGTAAATCCTCATGTTGTGATGAAAGCACAGCCAACTTACACTCAACGTTTATAGTATTTGAAGTGATCTGTTGCACCTTAAACGAAAGGGGGTTCTGCGCAACAAATCCCACCGGTTTCAAGTCTTCCAAGTCATACACTAACTCGCATTCGATCGTTCCATCTATCCTGTGTGGGGATGTGATTGTGAGTGTAAATATCGACTGCTTCACAACGACGCAAATCTCTTTGTCATTCAACGTTTCTGTGCTCGACGACGTCTGGCGTTCTAAAGTCAGCGACATGCTTTCCTTTAATATCTTTTTTCGAGTTTACAAGGCTTTGTTTTTTTTCTTTATGTTTGTGAGGATGGCATTTTTTAGGTTTTGTTTAGATTTTAACTCGTGATACTATATTTTATAATTATTTAACTAATGGTATATAGTTCTAGTTATTTTCATCGGCAATCAATAAAATTTTGAATAAAGTAAGTCCTATTTCTGCTTCCAAGAATTCTGCCAGATCATTTCGAATGAACGCGGACCTTCTTAGAATTCGTCCTTAGTTCCACTATGTCGATCTAAAATCACTGTGTATTTTTAGGTTTTTTAAAATATTAATGGTTTAATTGGTTAATATTTTATTATTTGTTTTTAGCTCTTTTCCTGTCAAAAAGGATTGTTTTTTTTTTACAAAAGTATCCCAACAATTGCACAAATATAATCAATCAATTATAAAAACAGACATTTTTTGTGTAAATAATCGGGAATATTATCGATATTTGGCATGTTAATTATTTTTGACAAAAAATATATTTTAGATTTTGTCTCTAAATTTTACTATAAACATAGAAATTGTTTTAATCATAGAGTTACAACTTTTTATTATTGAAATACTATAACTCTAATTGTGGCAAACAACGGCATTTTCGAAAGGGAACGTTTTTTTAAATTTAAATTTTACAGAAAAAGATAGTAAAAAAAGTAAAAACATGAAAAATGTTATACAATTTAACCAAAAACGCCACACCAATGAAAAACATGCTTTTTTCAGACAACCAATCGTTCCAAAATTTTCCTGTTTTTTATAAAATTTTTAATAAAACTCAAAATTTCAACATTTTTGTGAAACAATTATTTACAACCTTTTTATAAAAATTTATACTAATATAGTATTTTTATAACAATAAGAACCATAAATGATTTTAAAATTCAATGAGAAATTAATTAATAAAAAATGGTATTTAGTGCGATACACTTTTACACTTTGTTCTCTTCTTTCTTAGTTGTTTGGACCAAGATAAGAGGAGGAGTCTTTCCGGGGTATGTTGTTTGCCCTGTCAACGAAGGGGTGAGTACCTTTTTGGCGTGTTTTTCAATCACGACTTCCTCCTTCTTTTCCTCGTCTTTTCTAAAGGCACCACCAAACGAGTCGAACGATACGGAGAAGTTCCTCCTCTTTCTCCGCTCGTTATTTTTTTCTGCGAGGGCAACTTGAGGTTGAACCATCTTTTTCATTAAGCTCGACGACAGCCGCTGTTGCTTTTTATACGCCTTTATTTCAGTTTTAATACCCAGAGCAATCAAGTTAAAAGGTGTTGGTGGCCTTGACTGGAATGCGGGATATTCTGGAGGATTCCCCCACGTTTTCATCTCCTCCACGACATCCTTAAATGCACTCTCGCTTTGTTCCAATAAACACTTTAACCCCGCAATGGCGCCATTTGTGAATTTGAGTTCGTCCAATTTTGAATCAATGGGCCGTCGTGTAAGAGCAAGTGCCATACACGTTGCAGTGTTTTGTGCGTCCATTTTGTTGACATCACTATTCTTCACAATTTCGTCTAAATACATACAGATGTAGCACAACGTGTTTCGATTTGGCTTGGGGAGACTATTCACAAAGTTGAAGGGAAGAGGCGCACCAAGAGGCATATTAATAAAGTCGTTCACCCAAAAGGACGGTATCACAGTTTCAACGAGCGACGCCAAATACTTTTTCAGTAATGTCGCGACAACGTCCGTTGACTCCTTCTTATCAAACTGAATATCCGAATCCGTCTCCGCAAGGGCGCGCAACTCCGAGACGCGTTTACTGTTTCCGTTCTTCCTAAATATGCCCTCCGTATTACTCGCGTTGTTCGCGCGTAGAAATTCGATTGAGCGGTAGACGATATTGGGGACTGTCCACCGTGATTTAGTGATCGTTGAATTGATTGGGAACCTAAATACACCAATAGGACGCACAAGTGGCGACAACATCGTGATGATTTGGATAAACTCGAGTTCGTTTTGACACAAAAATCCAATTTCTCTATCGTAGATAAGTTCAAATGAATTGTTCTGTTCATCGCTCGTAAGGACATTATCCTTTGAAAGTTCTTTGGTAAGTTCTTCGCTTAAAGTGAATGACATAAAAGAACGCTTTAACATGATGTGGGAACCGTCGAGTGTTATAGTTGGGTATTGTGGGTCAAGGGAGTACGTTATTGAGAGTTCTTTGGGCTTCTTCCAACCGCTCTGAATTACTAAAATAGTTTCTTTCTTCTTACTCATCGAGTAAATTTTAGAGATGTTGTGTTCGTTTACTAATTAATGACAGTAAAATTTTTCGTCGATATTGTTGTCTAATAGATAATAGAAAAGTTATCACTTTTATAATCAATATTAGTTATATTTTAGTTAATTAATCTATTGTGAATTATATAACACCTTTTCAAAATAATCACCCACTTTTCATTATTATAAAATTATTTTTTTTGATCATTTTTGTACTTCCTTGGCATTTGTGTGAAATATTATATTAATGGAACATAATAAACTTAAAATTCAGACAATTTTTCGTTTTTGCCATTTAGTAGTTTTTTTATAAACTTGAAATATCAGGAAAAACAGTTAAAAACAAATAATTTTATTGGTAAATATGTTTTTGTTATTATACAAAAAATATTTTTGTTTTTTGCTATTAAAAATGAACATTTGATATCATTAATATAAATAATAATATTATAATTAATAAATAGTTATTTTAAAGATATAGTTATTTGAAGCAAAAATATGAGATAATTGACTGATAACAACATAGTAATAAATTAATATAATATAGTTTAATTAATAAAAATATTTTTTGAAAAAAACTAAAACTTCAAAGTTAAGATGGAAAGTGATATTAGTGATCTCAACAAGCAACTTGATACTTTTTCTGATCAAATTAAAAAAGAGTATACAACTTTTTTTCAGGAGATTGAATCTTCTATCAAATCACTCAAAACTCAGATAGCAGAGACAGAACAGCACTTAAGTGAAGCTGTCGATCGGTGTTGTGAGAGTGGTCTTCCTCCAACAGTTCCCAAAGAAGTCCAAAGTATGATGGAGTGCGAGTTAGAGGAATACACACGCGAGATTGACAGAGTTTTTAATGAAGAAATCAACAAACTTCAAAAATACCATATTCTTTCAACAGACGATTTTGTTAAGGTCAAACAACCAAACCTTAATTATGTGGACAACGGTATTTCAAGTTACCTTTTCACGCAAGCCATTGACCACACAGACCAGCTTTGTAAACTTCTTTCGAAGGATATAAAAGATAATATTTGTTAATAGTTTTAATTTACTTATTTAATGAATAAAATTAAAAACAAATTTTTTAAATAGTATAAAAGAGCAAATATATTTTTTAAATTTATACCAATTTTAAAGTTATTCAATAAGAAATATATTGATTATAAATA